TGGCCTTATCACGGCGTCCCACGTACCGCGTAGCCAGCCCATAACATTGCTGCGCCATTTTGAATTCATTTGTCTATTGAAATGAGTACCGCGTAACCGGCTACGTGGAATAATACTTCGAGTGGTGGGGTATTCTGCAATTAAGCCGATGATTAAAACACGAACGCAGGACAAACTGTAATTTAAATTTGATTTCTCCAAAATGTGACCCCTTCGTCACCGTGTACAGGAAAAAACAAAAAGAAAAGAAAAGAAAAAAGGAAAAAAAATGAAGTGAGCAATGACATGTGCTATTTGAGCTATTTGTTTTGATTGGCAAATTTCTCATTTTCCTGGCCCCTGGTAGTTTTACAGTAATGTAATCCCAAGTCGCCCAGATTTATTATTTGTCTACGACTTGCGCTACGCAATTACTGACTGTTTCAAGTCTACCCGCGCAACAAAGCGTCAACTAGCGATGGATGTCTGTGAAAAGGAGAGCAAAATAATGCCCACAGCGAAACGTAGCGGCAATCTTCACAAAGCGTCCTCCGTTTTGTCCGTTGCTGCGATTCTGTTGACGATCGCGCTGTTCGTGAGAATGGAGAAAGTGGTCCTTGATACGAAAATGATAGATTCAAAATTCACTCTTGAAATTCAGCAAATCAAAGATGCTCTGAAAGAAGAAAAAGATACTCGTCAATCGGGTGTGCAAGAGAACTTTAATATTGTCAGTGGTAAGTGAAGGTTTTGTTGTCGTCATTCTCTTGTTATTTTAAGAGACGGTACATCGGGAAGGTTATATGCTTGCTCTTGATGTCCATCTACAGCCGTGTTCGTCTTTTCAAGTTTATGGGATCATTCTCATCTCCCGTCACCGTAAAACGTTGAGATGAGTGATGCAGCGTTTTTCACTGAGTTATTACTGTTGGCGATTGGTGAGATAAAAGAATTGAAACAAAATTTTAACGAAAATTTAAAAACCCGGCGCAGAATCTACACGACCACTTTACGGACAAAGCGTCTATTGTGGCCATGCTTTGCATGTTTTCAGATGTTTTTCATGGCTGCGATGAGTCTGATATATACGATACTTAAATACGAATATCCATGACAAATAAATGCTAAAAGATCTTTCCATACCTTAAGTTAATACATTCAGCAGAGATTACAGCAAATGGCGAAGTTTAGGCCGCAAATGGCTGCATCTCTCCATGAAAGAATGGCATACTCAGTGTTCCAGGGGGGGATTAGTACCTTATATGGGCGGTTCCAAAGGGTATGGTTTTTCAGATGTGTTGTTCATAAATAAGCTATCGATTTTGGCCATTTTGGTCATAAGTACGGTGTGGTTTTTGCACTTTAGTCTTGAATTAGGTATGTTTTGTAGAAGAAGGTACCTTTTTTATCATTATCGAT